CTGCGGCACGGGAAGGCAGAGGGTGCTGCGCCTGCCTCCGGGACGAGCCTCCCCTCAGCCACCCCCGTGTTTGTCGTTGCAGGGGTTTTTCCTCTGTGGTGGCCCTGGGAGCCAGCATCATCTGTAACAAGATCCCGGGGCTCGCGCCCCGGCAGCGGGCGATCTGCCAGAGCAGGCCTGTTTTTTTGGTCCCAGATGGGCATCAACGAGTGCCAGTTCCAGTTTCGCAACGGGCGCTGGAACTGCTCTGCCCTGGGAGAGAGGACTGTCTTCGGGAAGGAGCTCAAAGTGGGTACGTTGGCTCTCTGCTTGCTACTGAGCAGCTTCCACCCGCAGGTCACCAAAGGGGGCACACGGGGAGTGTCACGGGGCATGGCTGTTGGTGTTGGGAAGGACCAGCTCGCTCACACGGTTCGTGCCAGCCAGGGCAGGACTGTCACCGTGAGCGTGTTCCCCTGGATGCTATGGCTGTGGGTACCAATGTGACTGATATCCGTGTTCTCTCCTAGCAGGGCACCTGCCTGTGCTTCACTTCCATATGTGTTAGCTTCCCCCACAGTATTTCACTGTCCTGCTCTCATAAATCCTTTTCCAAAGGCTTTCCGTTTGTGACCACAGGACAGCAGCTTTATTCCTGTACTTCAGGATAAAAAAAAGGTGTTTGGTTCTGGTTAAAGGCAGTGGTCAGGGGCAGAATGCTGAGCAGGGTTGGAATTACACTTCTCGGGTGCAGGCGACTCCACAGTGATACTGGCCCAGTGTTTGTGACCTGGTGGGACAAAGGTGCAGCAATCAGTCTCATTGTGAGAGATTCCCACCACTGTACTATAGTTATCCTATAGCAGCTGTATCTAGTGCCCTCTGTCTCAGCAGAAAGAGCAGGTGTGTTCTGGTTTGAGATGTCAGTGCATTTACAAACACTGTTCCAATCAACAGGCAGAAGATCCCATTTGCAGCTTTTATGTTTTCAGGTAGTGCAGCAGTATAAAATACATCAAAATTATTAACTGAACCAGCATTAATAATGACAAACAGAAATACCTGAAGAAACAGAACTGAGGTCAGAACTCTCATACCTCTGCACTGCAAAGCATATTAGTGGAGCTTACTCAGTGTCTGTTGGTTCCACAGCACTTAAAATAAGAGTAAGGAAAAGTTTCTCCAAAAACAGGTTAGTCATTTTTAGAGTCTCTATGGAAAGCTAATGACTTGCAGCATTGCATTCTGCATCCAGAAGTTGAAGTTGGCATCTATGTTTTCCAGTCTTGAGGTCTCCCTGTCTCTTCTCCATCTACAACATAGTTGCAAAAAACCAGGAGCCCTATCAAGCAGTGATTAGTGTGATAAAAACCATGGATATTTCATGAGAATTGAAGAAGGGACTGAGAACAGAAGCTGGAAGAGCCCTGAACAGCTGTTAGGAAACCCTCTGGACTGGACTGGCCCCCGGCATCATTCAGTCATATGGACAAATGGCAGAATACATCCCTAGGACCTCATTCCTTGCATTCCCATGAAACACAGAGATACAGCCTTGCCACTGCTCTGGAACTCCTGAGAACACTGAAGGTGTATTTTATCACATCAGTGCACACTGATATGTGTATTTTCCAAAACTTAGAGATATTTCAGGAAAGAACAGAAAGAGAACAACATAGCTGGGTTTGAAAGCTCTGCATTTCAACACCTTTGATAATGAGGGACTCAGCAGAGAAGGTAAAAATTCCCCCTGCCCAACATTGTGAACCATCTGAAAATGGACCATTTATTCAGATTAGCTCATTGTCTCTGTTCCTTGATCTGAGCTCTTCTGTCAGTGATGCATGCAAGTGTTTGCCACTTATGTCAGTGAAGAGTCCATTTGGATGGCTAACAGGTTTGGACTCATTTAGTCTAAGACTCATTCTCACATTTCCTTAAACAGAAAATGTGAGAAGGATTTCTTGTTCTCCAACAAATCAGAAAACTGTGGAGTTACTGTGGTCTGTTCTATAAACATGCTCTCAGTTCCTACCCTCCCTCCAAAAATTGAATTATTTAGCTAGTGGGTTATATTTAGGTCCTTTTAAAGAAAGTCAATATTAAAGGAAGTAGACTTTGATCTGTCTTTGAGGTGATAACTCTTAATATGTTCTATCTATCCATTATGAGGCTAAGATGGATAGGGCAAATTCCTCATTGGGTTCGGAACACAGTCAAGAGTTGAATGGCATCCAAGTTATAGGACCTCATTTAAAGAATAACCAAAACCTTTGAATTTAAACAGGTTATCTATTTAAATCTTAAAATAAACTTTGATAAAATTCACAGAGGTTTGAAATCCAATGTGAATTTTACTTGCATGCACACATTCCTGTGGGCTCCAGGATAACAGTACTCAGGCTCTCAAATACCATGAAATTACAATGTAACCACTCTTGCTCAGGTTGTCTCCTTGTTCTCCTGCTTCTTCCCTATCAGCAGGTATAGAAACCTTGAATATCTGACACAACTTGTCTTTCTATGGCTATAAGGAAAAAGCATCTGATCCTTACAGGTCTCTCTTTCCCCAAGATCTGTGTCAGGGTATGCTCTAGGTTACTATCCACAGAAATAAGATTTTGTTCTGGTTAAAAAATGTAAAACCTATGTGCCATAAAGCCCTAAGTCAAATTTGCGGCCCACAAACAGGAGGAGATCAGGCCTGAGTGCTGTACTCTAAACAGGAAAGGGAGAGGTGTGTGACATGGACTGTATAACTCATAGGAGGTGTTTCAAGGTGACTGTGCACAGGAACAATGCAGGTTGCCATTGGGCAAAGATACTGTACCCTTGTTGCTTTTTTAATTAGCCTTTGACAGGGTGTGTATTACAAACTACTGTTCCAACAGCAACTAAACATTAGTACCTTTTCTAGCATTCAACAACTGATTATGTTTTTTAGGTAATTGCATCCTGAAAGTTATTACCTGGGAAGTACCTTTGTCTTGCCATTTGCAATGAAGTCAGTGGGCCATACATGACCTCATTCCTCTCTCCGTGTGAGGCTGTGCTGTGCCTGCAGAGTGGCACTGATGGACTCGCTCTATGATTAGGATATGACTTCAGAATGACAGTAATGTGTCTGTCCTCGGCACGGCACTGCCGGGCGCGTGCAGCCGGCAGAGGATAATATCAATTTGGGAGGATGTGCCTAAGTAACTCTTATGCTAATAGGATTTGTGTGTGTTAGTCCATACAAATAAGTTCCCTTCGGTACCACAGATTCTTGAGAATTATTTCCCATCCCACAATTCTGAGGGCACAGCAAGGCAAATCTCTTCAAAACCAGGTTTCTTTACTCTATCCCTTACTGGGTAATCTGTGTTATGAATGTTATGTAAATGTGCCCAAATTATTTACATTCTCTTGTTGCCACTCAGGGTGGTTCAGGAGGTGCAAGTTGTCCTCGTGGCCCTGCTGCTGTGTAGCTGAGAGACCATGGCACTCTCCACTGTCTTTCTCTTTTCCTGTTTTTAAAATGGCAACAGGGATACTAACCTTGGTGAAACATTTGTAATTCTGGAGAAGGAAAGCATCAAGCAACATTTTCCTGTTTAATCTGTAGGACGTGTGTATTTTTTAAAAGTACATATAATCCATCTTCAGGTGATAGTTTATTTGTAGAGTTATCATAAGCAACCATTTAAATTCATCCAAGCATCATATGGTGTATTTGTGATCATAGTCTTGAGTTTTCAGCCCATTCCAGCTGCTTCCAACCAGTGCACAGCATATATTCTCCATTTCTTGTGTCATTTTATCTAGTTTGTCCTTCAAAAGAGAGATTCTTCCCTACTGACATACTGTGGATATCTTATCGTGACAGCTGGTGACAATAGTGCCAATAACGTGAAGAGAAATAGCAGAGTAAAAGTGCCATCAGTTTACTCCATCTGAGGACTTGGTCCCATTACAACAGGAAATAAAGTCGCAATCCAGATCGACACAAGGATGTTTTTTCTAGACAATTCCATAGACACCTTATTAATAATGTAAAGTCACAAAGAGAATTTTTAAAATAACCATGGAGATGACGCAACACTGCAATTATGGACACACTTAAAACCAAATATATTTGTTACGGTGGTCAGCAGTTCTGTTCCTGAAGACAGCCACAATCAAACCCAAGGTTTTAAAGCAAGATAGGCCAAAACACTCCTGGCCACCTCTCATCAGGTGAAATGTGCTTCAAGACTAGGGATCTGAACAACCAGAGATGCCTTTGATAGAATCTGAAAATCCGACTTGGGCTCTGATGGATCACAGAAAGATCGAACGCTGTGGCGAAGGCTCTTCATCAGGTGCCTCAGTGGCACATTTTGCAGTGTGCAGCTTTGTGAACGGGTGGCCAACAGCAACTCTGCTGTTTGTGACAGTAACAGTCTCAAATCACTGCCTTGGGATATGCATACATGTGATCTAGAGGACAGCACCATATTGGCATCATAGGGCAAAAATAAAGCCCAGCATCCCTTTGCCATAACTGAGCAGCACTGCCACTATTCAATGAGACTTCCCAAGTGAAAATAGTGCAAACTGTTTGCACCTCTACAAAGTGATACAGCAAAGGGGAAACACTTCAGTGCAGACCTGTAAGAAGAAAGGCACCTCAGCCCTGCAGCAGCTGCCATGGACCCTGTGTGGGTAGGATGGAGGGAGTCAGCTGAGGGCTATGAAGACGTGTGGTATTCTACAAAGAAGATTACAGCAAGGCTGGTTTCAATCGAGTTTCTGTCCTGGTCTTACTAAAAGGCATCAGTTCTTTGATTTCTTTTAAAGTGGAAAATGCTTCAGTATAGCGACATCAATACCTTCATCCATCTGACATTGTTCATGGGAATAAGGAAAGCTGAAATCAAAACAAGAATCCACGTGGACAAACTGGTCTTAAAACTTTTGAGTGTAGAAACGAACTCAGCGACTCTACGTTGTGCCCAATGCCTTTGACTTGGGGGTCAGTCCAGGTGTACCCAGATGCACACATTAAAACAGGAGAAGCTCTTAGCTTTCCTTTTTATGCTACACTATTAGCTCTATGCTGAACTGAATTTAGCAGTGATTTATTTGCCATCTAGTAAAATCAACTTTTCTTCTATGCCTTCAGCAATGTAAAGGAAGAGGGAACATTCCCACTCCTGCCTATTGAAACAAATTACAACTGTGCTACAAGCCAAGCCCTTAACTAGTTTGTTCAGTAGGTATCAGGAGTAACTCTTTTGCTGGTATGGAAAAGAGAACAAGATCTAGCTCATTCTCCTCTCTGGTCTGGTA